AAGTCAGCCTCTGCCAGTGCCTTGCCCAGGGCACCCAGCATGAGCTACACAGCAAACCGTAGTTGGCTGCTACTTGTGCTGGGCTTGGAGGTGCCCAGGAGAGGCCAAGCTATGAGCCAGTGCAGGGTGCCGCTAGTGCCAGGCCTGGGGCCACTTATCAAGCCGTATGGGGCAGCTGCTGCTTGTTTGAGAGATTTTAGGAAAGTCCTAATCATGAGGCTTGAGATGCCACTTGCACAGAAAAGCCCCTGGAAATGGCCTGGATGACCTGCAGGTGGGGAGGGGCGGGGCCTCCAGGATCATGGGCGGGGCCAAAGGTGTGATGCGCTGGCAATTCAAACATGGCGCCTGCCTGCTGGCTGTGTGCGGGGAGGACTTGCCAAAGGGGCAACGGCCTCTGCCAGCCCTTCTGCCTGGGAGGAAGTCGCCCTCCGCCTCTCGCCCTGATCCAGGCAGGTTAGTTCCTCCCCGAGTGTCCCAGGTCCTTTCAGGCTGCTGCCCGGCGCTGGGCTCAGAGGGAGCGTCCGAGTGAGTCCGTGCCAGGCCCTTTGAGAGGAGCTCCCGCAGCCTCCGCGACCCTCAGGGACAGGCCCCGCTGGTTTCACAGCCCGGAGTTGTGGGGACGTCCCTTCCTGGCCCTGGAGCCCTGGGCTGGGGGCCTGCTGTGGGGCTGGGACCCCTCGCTCCTCCGGGAAACCTCCGCCGCCGAGATTCCCTTCTAGTTTCAACCGCGGCACCGCGTGTGGGCCCGCAGCACGTCTTTGTGATTCAGCCCCGATCCGCCCGCGTCTCCGCCCCTCCTACCGTCTTGGTGCTGCTTCAGTTCCCTGGTTGTGGGGCTTCTGTTCAGCCAGATTTCAGGAGGCTCTGAGTGACGGTGGTTCTGTATTTTAGTTGTAATTTTGATGTGGTTGCGGGAGGCGGCGGGCGCAGCTGTTACCTACGCCGCCATCTTGTTCCTCTCTCCCTTCATTTTCAAGTGTGAAAATTGAGTCACGGGAAATTTAAGTGATTCCCTCCTGGTTACGTGGGTAATTAGTGACAGTGCCAGGGACTCTACAGTCATTAGTAACTGGAATGAACCTTTATTTTTGTATTTTGTTATAGAAGCATGCATTTTAATTATTCCAGAAAGGTGGAAGAATGTTAATTTCTATTTGTGTATAAAATGATAACATTATATACATCTCATAGGATTGTTGTAAGGATTAGTGACTATGTACAAGTAGGCTGAGTGCATGGTGAGGAGCAGAGGAAGCATTTTGCAAATGATGGCTACTGTTATATTTATGGGATTATGGGGTTACTTTGATTTTTTATTAGAATATACCACTTAAGATTTTTCTTTGTTAAAAAAGTATAAAAGAAATTTTCTCTCTGCCGTGGTTACAGCTTTCTTCATTCCCTAAGTGAGCTAATGATATTAGAACAATTAAACTCAACACAATGTCTCAAACTCAAACACAGTGCAGCTTTAGAGTTTATGTTTAAATTTTTTTTTATTGTGGTATCATTTACTTTGGTAAATTCATATTTGAATTTAAAGTGCCCCAAAGCAAATAAAACTTTGTTATAAATTCAATTACTGTATTTTAATGTACATGTTACACACAATAGCTGCATAGTAGAATTACTATTACAAGCAGTTACATTCATGAGGCCCAGTACTAAGTTTTTACACTGCATACGGATTACACTAGGATAGATTGCATTATGATTACTGTTGCTTAGTACAGTAACTTTAGTACAATAGCTTATATGACTGCATTTTCAAAGCTTTAATGAAGTTAGCAGCATTTAACTGATAGTGAATTAAAACACTGTTATGTATACGATGTATTTTAGGTTAGATGCTTATGCAAGAATAAGCACTTAACATGCTTTTGTATCCTTGACAACAAAGTTATCCCTTTCACTAAATAGAATAAGCAACGCTAAAAGAAATCTGAAGTAACTGAAAGAAAAATTTCAACTTTATACCCCTGTATTATGTTAAAGATTATTTAACATAATTTTCTTCTGGTTAAAAAATACCTTTTTTTGGTTTTTGGTTGAAGAGAGAGAGAGAATGAGACAGAGAGAGAGATTTCCATTGAAAAGGCTGTACTAAAATGCTAACATAGCTATAGCCCTTGGATGATACTTTAGCTGGGAAAAAATGTATGGTGAGTGGTACTCAACATTTTTTCTGTTTAGAAAAAAATTAATAGTCTATAAATTTCTAATGTTTAAAACAGGTATTTTTTATTTAAGGTCTTAAAATAAACATACGTGTATTAAACAAATTAGGTTGTTTAAAAAACTTGGCAACAATACCTGACTTATTCACAAATATATTTTCTATCCATATTTATTACAGTTTGAACAATTTAAAAACGTAAATCCTGCAAATACTCTTAACTTAGATAACAACAGTGTTATCTTAATTCACATAAATGATTGCAGGAAATATTTTTAAGACTTTATATAGTATTTTACCTAATGCTCACATCGAATACTCCAATTAATCACACTTAACTTTACAGATGGAAAAGCTGGGATGGTGAGAGGTTGGATAACTGTTCTAGAAACTGTAGTAATCAGCTTTTCATATTTTGTTTGAGCAGCTGGCCTCTTTTTTTTTTTTTTTTTTTTT